AGGTTAGGAATATGGTTGTGAAGGTTGTTCCCAGTCACCAAACCCATTTCCTCTTGACCGTGATGTATTTGATTGTCTTCACTGTTATGCAACTCTTCTGTCATTTTAAATGAGCATCTGGTTTAAATTGTATTTTTTCTTTGTTGCAGGCACCCAGCAGGAAAAATAAGATACAGCTGTGCCCTAACAGGGGAGTCCTGGAAAAGACCAGTAAGCCCCAACCATTGTCAAAAGTGTGCAGCTGGCTGGCAGAACACCCAACATCACTACTGTGTTGACCACACCTAAATAAATACACCGTCTTGACTCTAAACGAAACTCATAAAACTGCGCCAGAAGTGAAACGAAAGTGAAAACATAGATACAGATTTATGGAACGTCCACCCAAATCCGGAAGAGTCCTATATAAAGCAAAGTGAACTCGCACTCTGCACTCTTTGACGAACCTGGAGAAAGGTACGTGAACATGCATTTTGTTTTTACCCTAAGAAATCTGTATTTTACAGTAAATATTATCAATGCTACATGTGAACTTCCCGTTTGATAAAAGCAGATTAATCCTGGTGTTTCCAGGATTTACAATTTACAGTTACATTTCTTAACTCAGTTTAAGCTCAGTGAGAAGTTGACAAAACACTGATTTTTCTCAGAAAATGTGTTATTAGTTAAATTGAACTATACACTGTTGTAAATAATGGGAAACGACATTTTAATTAGGTCATAGTTGAAAAACAGTGAAGCAATCCAGAACAGACTAATAGACCAGAATATTAGCATATATGTATTAGGACTCATCCCCTGGCCACCATGAATATCATCAACATTTAGTTCAAAGCACTGCTGTGCCTAAGGCCATATTCAGACCAACTTTTGCCCTGCGTAAAAAAAAATACAGCTTCCTCATTCATTTGAATGGGGACAGTCTGTTTTCAATCTGAACATCTTCTGAATAAAGCCACGCAGCTTGGCTAACAGTTGCCCTCTGCTTCTTCTGGTCTTTGTTCTAAGCTAGGCTAAACACATCCACAACCTAAAATAGACCTTAAATGTTTTAATGTGTTGTTGAATCATCTTATAATATTGTGGTTTCATTCCTGTGTTTTTTTATTTACAGCAATGAATTTTTAAAAAACTAAAAAAAAAAACTCTTTCCTACAGTGATACTGACATCAACATGAACCAGTTCAAGTGGGCTGAAGATGACTTTGATCTGCCTGCAGGGGCATCTCTGCTTGGACCCACTGATCCTCAGCCGGTTAATGGTAAAACCTACATCATGTACCACGGCACCACCAGGAAAAATGCTGAGTTGATCAAGGCCAATGGTTTTGCCCGGTCTGCAGGGGGGATGCTTGGCCCCGGCGTCTACCTCAGCAGAGACCTGCTGAAAGCTAGTCGCTATCCCATTGATCACCCTGAGCATGACAAGGTCGTCATTAGGGTTACGGTCAACGTGGGTAAAGTGATTGTCATCAATCGTCAGTACCACCCACGTCAGAAGAACTGGCATGACTGCAAGTATGGCGAGGTGTACGACACCGCCTGGGTACCACCCAATTGTGGGATGGTGAAGAGCGGTTTGGAGGAGAATTGTGTCTGGGATCCCAAACGAATCAAGATCAACAACACCATCAAGCCCAGCCCAGTGTCAAGCGGAATGACCTTTGGATGTGGTGCACGAGGCTACATGTGAGCTCTACGAGCTGTCACCAATTTATTTTGTCTCTTCAAATGTATTTTTATAAATTTGGATGAAAAGTAAATGACATTGTATTTTGTTACTGTGTCTCACAGGTGTGTCACCTGCAAAATAAATGGGTCATGTTAAATCTGAGTGGCTGTCTGAGCCTAAATTGAAAAGGTCATGAGTACATCTTTATTCTAAAACATTTGGCTCTGAAATAACTGTTGCCACTTTAATGCAGTGGGGGTGGATGACATTTTGAAGGGTTAAAAAATGTATTTGAAAGATTCAAAAGCAACTTGTCTTTTCAGAAACATTGTCACAGCTGCTCTGGACAATCACTGGACTTTACTGTCAGTTTTTATTTCTCCATTTATTTTGTCCAGATAACAGTCAAGGTCAAGGTAACAGAGGTAACATTATCTGAGAACAACAGATTTTACGTGGAAAAAGAGCAGCACAAAATAACAATTTATCTGAATATAGATTCAATTTAATTCAATGAATGCCCATCATTTAAAGGGATAGTCTAAAGGAATAGTCCAACTAATGACCCTCAATAAATCAGGTATTAATTAGATCTTTAGAGGAGCTGGTAGGTGGATTGTGGTACCTTTGGACAGAGCCATGCTAACAGTTTTCCCTTGTTTCCAGTCTTTTTGCTAAACTAATCTAATGGACTGCTGACTGAAACTTCATACTTACTGTCCAGACATCATGAGAGTGCTGTCAACATATTAATAATCATAGTTATTGCTATATACATTCCTGTATGAGTGATTGTATCTTATGATGATGCATACTAAGTCCAGGTGGCACAGTGGCTCTATGGTTAACACACCTGCTTCAAAATAAGCAGGTCCTAGATAAAGGTATGAAATGGATACAGGTAATCACCCACAGGTGTGAATGTATTTAAACGATTTAACACATCAAGCATTATTAAATCATTCAATCAATTTAATAATCTATACAACATGTGACACCACAGACCTTCATTTCAGATAAAAAGAAATAGAATTACCTCCTCATGGTTGTCTGCCTCTACCACTCAGACAAGTTTCAGATTACATCCCTTTTTATCCAGAGTCGCATTAAATATTAACCAATTGTGTGAAATTTTGTCATAATTAATGTATGAAGTCTTGAGCTATGGCTAAAAAATCGTTTTGTGAGGTCACCCTGACCTTGGCTTTTGACCTTTAGCCACCAAAATCTAATCAGTTTGTGCTTGAGTCCAGGTGAATGTTTGTGCCAAATTTGAAGAAGTTCCGTTAAGGCATTACAGAGATATCGTGTACACGAGACTGAGACGGACGGATGGACAAAACGAAAACAATATGCCTCCGTCTCTGTCTGTCGCTGGCGCAGAAGCATAATAACTTCCCCAAAAAGCCCTTTACTTGGGAAAATAAAATTAAACAACAGAACAGGGAGGAAAAATACACTGACTATTGTCATTTCATATTTTAGAGTTTTTTATGTGAAACCAAATGGCAATAAAGTATTAAATCTGGACCTTTGCATACCTCTTCCAGTACAGACAGACAGGCAATAGATGTGGTCAGCACAGAGCAGACAGATGTAACAATATTGAAATTACACTATGGAGAAACCGAGTGACAATATTAGGTAGATATATCACAAATACAGATTCAGGTAAATCCAGGTTGGTCCTGAGCCACACCCCCTCCTCTTCACCAAGAATCCCTGGAAAGATGAACTATACATTCACACAGGAGACAAAACCCAAGGTCATAATTCAGAGAGAGAGAGAGGAGATTAAAGTTGAGGCTGAGTCTGCTGGAGGACAAAGCTTCAGATCCAAGACGTCTGAATTAAAGCATCTGGAAGGACAAGGAGATGGAGAGAGCACAAAGAGAGTGAAAGAGAGGGGAAAGCAGTGAAAGGGGAAGAATTCATCTCTATTTTTAGATGTTCATTCAATTAGATCACTGGCACTTCTCTGCAATATGCATGAAATCAGACTAATCTGGTGGAAAGTGTATTAGTAGGCGAGCAGTGATGGGGCAGTGGAGGTTTCTTAGAGCTGCTGGAGCATATTGCATATATATGTATAAATGTGTGTTTACTGCATGACTGGAGACACAAGATGTATGCAGGAGTAATCATTTCCTTAGGGCATTTAACAGAGGTTTTGTTTGTATGCATATATGATGTAAATGTGTGTGTTCTCATTCAAACAATGCTGCTACAATTACAATTACTGGATCATCTGATCCGTTACACAACTGAAACTTTATGTATTCTGTCTACTGTGCATGTGCATATGTTTTGCACAATCAACTGCTCCACCACCATATTCTTATTTATTTTTATTCTTTATTCTTATGACTTACAGACTTTCTTCTTGAGGCATCCCTCTTACTGCCTCTGTGCCGGCGACAGTCAGAGATGGAGACATGTGTTTTCAGGTTGTCCAACAGTCCCATTTTCATTGACACAATATCTCAGTAACGCCTTGATGGAACTTGGGCTCAAAGATGAATTGATTAGATTTTGTTGGCTAAAGGTCAAAGGTCAAATGACAAGGTTTCCATAACATTACAAAACTCTTCTTGAAGAATAAATAGAGCATGCTGAATTGAACTGAAACTGAAGGCAAGAAAATAAAAGACAAGAGATTACTTTTATTCTTGAGGCTCATCAAAATCGTGTAAACACACTGTATATCAGTTTACACACACAATGTTAAGAGTTGCATTAAATTTAAAATTTAACCTTTTTACACACGTTTTTTTGTTTGTTTTTTTATATTTCGATTCTGTGTTTTATATAATCAGTTCAGTAATTCAGTAATTGGGATTGTGTCTTATATAAGAAAGGTGATATCATATTGGATTATCATTTGAAGTAGTGATAAAAGAAGGAGTATTAGTATGAAGATTATCAGTATTAAAAGTATTAATTGAATGCTGTTCGGGTCAAGAGCTGCTGCCCACGGCCGTTGAAAAGCAAGTCCGGCCCTGGCAGTGACTCCTGATGCTTCTGCACTTCACTGGTTCACAAACTGCAACGACGTCATTTGCTCTACATGAAAAAATAAATGCTTTCTCTAAACTGTTGACTCGGTAGTGGCCACATGAGGGCCTCTGTGTCCTCTCTGCTGCCTGCAAACCTCCAAACCTCTCTCCTCATTTCAAGCCTTTGCCAAGTTCCCTCCTCCCTCCTCCTCCTCCTCCTCTCTGCCTGCCAGTAGCCTGGCTCAGGCCGTGTAGGGGAGCATTCATACCCCGCTGTCGGCGTTTAGCGGATGGGGCTCTCAGCTTGAGCCGGAGGGAGGAGGAGGAGAACGATGAACGGTAACCCGTGTGCCCGCAGGCTGGCCCGGCACTCCAGGTCCGCCCTGCTGCTCGCCGCTCTGGCCGTCCTGCTGGTCCAGACTCTTATCGTGTGGAACTTCAGCAGCCTGGACTCTGCTGGCGGGGACGGAGGCGCCAGGAGCCGGGAGAAGAGAGAGGACCGAGCCGGGGGGCTCAACAAAGCCGACAGGGAGCACCCGAGGAGGGGGCTGCAGAAGAAGGGCGACCCGCCGCCGCTGTTCGGAAAGGCGGCCGTTCGGCACAAGCTGCAGGCGGTAGGCTTGAACGATATCTGCTTCAATATTCACGGTGAACCTTAATGTGTCAGTTTAATTTGAATTTCACACGTGTGTTTTCCTCCACCGACTGGAAAACGAGCGGCTGTCCCCGAGGGAAACCGCATGGTAGATATGGAGAAGATGCTTTTGAGCGGCTGCAGCTGCTCGCCTGTTGTTTTGGCATTTGCATCAACACAATTGCCATCTATCGTCTCTTGTGTGGAGACACGGGGCGGGAGGCCAAACTTAATTTTAAAATCTGTCAATTTAAAGGTGTCGAGTAATGGCCAATATGCCAGGTGAAATAACGACCCGGTCCCATTTTCGAAGAATTGTAGCTGTGTGGACGTGTTAAAGTACATTCAACGTACCCACAGTATTTAAATAAATGTATAACTTTAAGATACGGTCAAACTGATTGTTTTTTTTTATCTACTTTTCGTAATGGAAGATAGACAAGCGGCATTAACAGAAACATATTGATGTCTGTTTAATTTAGTGCAGATTAATCGATAAAATAACTGCTGAATGTAAGAATGACGCAGATTCGTCCATAAAATATCTTCAGGCATGTTTTCCAATACATGTCAATTTGTCGAAAAACTAAGAAGGTTTATAATTGTGTGATTTCTTAACGGGGTTTGGTGCGACGTTTCTCTACTCAACTGACGAGAGATTGTCGCTTTTCGAGCGGTATTTCCTTTTAGTTTTGTAGATGTAGAAGGTCAACACATTGTTTATGAAATCTTTAATTGTAAACCTTAACAATCATTTAAGATTTTCATATTAAGGTAGATGTGCACAGAATGAGTGACTCTAGGGGATGAAACTGTTCATGTGAGTCTGTCTCGGATCTGTGATTTAGAGTGTTAATTAAAACCCCTGTCTTGGAGAAACCAATGAACTGCCCTGACACCTTTGGAAATTAAGAAATGATTAAGCCGTTTTTATTCATGGAAATTAGTCCCCAGTGATATTGGTTTGTAGAAAGACAGGCTTATATGTATTGGAAAAAAGACATCTTGCTGCTTGCCAAATCAAACCAAAAAACTCTTCTTTCTTCTGCATATTTTATAGATATCTTCCCATTTCAATGACTGTCTCTCTTATATTTATATTATTTAATTTCCAACCCTCTCAAGCTTTCCTAGTTGCTATATGTGTTTGTGCATAGTGAGTAATCACATACAGTACACCTATATGATCACCTATATGATCTGGAAGGGATACCATAGTGTTTTTTTACGTGCAGAAAATAATGTTATATGTGTGTGTTGCTTTACCTGGTGGGATCCAGGTGTTCTAACATGTTGTTAAGACACGAACATACTGTATATGCTGCTGTGTGTGTGTGTGTGTGTGTGTGTGTGTGTGTGTGTGTGTGTGTGTGTGTGTGTGTGTGTGTGTGTGTGTGCGCGCGCGCGCGCGCGTGTGTTAGTGAGTGTGAGAGAGTGGGAGAGACCTGGGTTATATTGCAGGGATCCATTTTTATGGCCTTTCATTACAGTTGGGCGGATGCCCTGTGATCTTCCCTCTGTGTGTGTGTGTGTGTGTGTGTGTGTGTGTGTGTGTGTGTGTGTGTGTGTGTGTGTGTGTGTGTGTATGCGAGTGGTGATATGCCCTGACAGTTATTGGCTTTTAAAACCTTAGAGATACATGCCAGCACTTTTTATAGGACCAGAGTTTGGGAGGTGAAGAGAGATGGGGTGAGATGGAGGAGAAAACAGGATTGAATGAAAAAAGCAGTGGTGAAGAAGGTGAGAGTTAGATGGGTAATTGGAGAGATCTGAAGACATGGCTGAGCAGGGAAATAACTACAGTGTGTTATTAGTCAGTTAGGGTGTGTGAGTATACAAGACCAGCTGATGCTGTGTATCTGGTGTGTGTCATGTGTGTAGCATCTTCACCACCGTTGTCAGATAGCACTGATATTTTGTCCTGACTTTCAGACGTTCAGGGTCGATGTCTGTTCATCTTTGGTTTTAGACAGATTTCTAGCACTTGTTGGAAATCTTTTGTTGTGCTTAACGTGACGAGTTGTCAACCTGTCTCTCCTCTCCTCTGCTTGGTGTGTGTGGGCTGAGACACACACACTATGGAACAGGAAGCAAAGGAGAGGAGAGAAACGCCACCGTAAATGGCAGTAAAACACAGAAGAGACTCCCCCCAAACAGGACCCCTCTGTTGCTCCAGGGCAATGGTAGGAGAAACACAATCTGACATTTTATAGACTGAACGAGTAATCAATTAATTGTAAAATAAAAAGCTGATTAAACGATGATTGAAATAATCGTTAGCTGCAGCTCTAGTGTTAAGACGACATCAAGCATATTTTGGTGTATTTTGTAAATGAATTAAAAGGCTTTTGTAGAAAATCAGATTTGTAACACAAAGATTTTGAGATCAGGGTGAGAACAGGTCATTTAGTTTGTGATAATTTGATTAAANTGGGAGGGAAGGTGCATGTTTATTGTCAGGAAGACGCGTCCTATTTCCAATAAAAGACTGGACATCGTTTGAGGGAGAACAATAAAACTGAACCCGTTTGGGCAGGTTAAAGTGACTTTTATTGTTTACTTAAGCACAAATGAGCACATACACATTATAGTGAAATAATTAACTGCTGGAACATCTGGACAGGCAGCATGTTGTTGAAACGGAACGTACACTATCCATCCATCCATCCTGGGCCAGAGCCTGTTTGAAATGGACTGGCTAACATTTCTTGTTGAAAAATCAACCAAAACAACCACAAAGTGACACACATGCGGTCTCTTTAATTTGGGGCATCTGCATCTGTATGCAAGGGTCCATTCCTCAGAAACTATCCATGCCGCAGGTGCCCCTATGCAGCCATAGTGGTCGTTCCAGTCAGCTACTCTGTGTTTATTTTTGAGTCAAGTCAGCGCAACCCACAGAGTCCCAATAGCCCACATTTATGGGAATTACAACCAGGCTGAAAAATGCCGAGTTTTCTTTAATTATTGCACTTATGTAAAACAGCGTGCACCAGTAAAAAGAAACCTAAGGAAAGAGTTAGGAATCGGTTGTGGGAAAGGTTGTTCCCATCAGCCAAACCATGCCTCTTGCCGTGATGTATTTGATTGTCCTCACTTGTTATGCAACTCTTTCTGTCTATTTTTAAATGAGCCTATCTGTTTAAATTGTATTTTTTCTTTGTTGCAGGCACCCAGCAGGAAAAATAAGATACAGCTGTGCCGTAACAGGGAGTCCTGAAAAGACCAGTAAGCCCCAACCATTGTCAAAAGTGTGCAGCTGGGCTGCCAGAACACCCAACATTCACTACTGTGTTGACCACACCTAAATAATACACCGTCTTGCTCTAACGAAACTCATAAAAACTGCGCCAGAAGTGAAACGAAATGAAAACATAGATACAGATTTATGGACGTCCACCCAATACCGAAGAGTCCTATATAAAAGCAAAGTGAACTCGCACTCTGCACTCTTTGACGAACCTGGAGAAAGGTACGTGAACATGCTTTTGTTTTTACCCTAAGAAATCTGTATTTTACAGTAAATTATTATCAATGCTACATGTGAACTTCCCGTTTGATAAAAGCAGATTAATCCTGGTGTTCCAGGATTTACAATTTACAGTTACATTTTCTTAATTCAGTTTAAGCTTCAGTGAGAAGTTGACAAACACTGATTTTTCTCAGAAAATGTGTTATTAGTTAAATTGAAACTTACACTATGTTGTAAAATGGGAAACGACATTTTAATTAGGTCATAGTTTGAAAAACAGTGAAGCAATCCAGAACAGACTAATAGACAGAATATTAGCATATATGTATAGGACTTCTCCCTGGCCCCGCATGAATATCATCACATTTAGTTCAAAGCACTGCTGTGCCTAAGGCCATATTCAGACCAACTTTTGCCCTGCGTAAAAAAAAATCCACACAGCTCCTCATTCATTTGAATGGGGACAGTCTGTTTCAATCTGAACATCTTCTGAATAAAAGCCACGCAGCTTGGGCTAACAGTTTGCCCTCTGCTTCTTCTGGTCTTTGTTCTAAGCTAGGCTAAACACATCCACAACCTAAAATAGACCTTAAATGTTTTAATGTGTTGTGAATCATTTTATAATATTGTGGTTTCATTCCTGTGTTTTTTTATTTACAGCAATGAATTTTTAAAAAACTAAAAAAAAAAACTCTTTCCTACAGTGATACTGACATCAACATGAACCAGTTCAAGTGGGCTGAAGATGACTTTGATCTGCATGCAGGGGACATCTCGGCTTGGACCCACTGATCTCAGCCGGTCAATGGTAAAACCTACATCATGTACCAACGGCACCACCAGGAAAAATGCTGAGTGATAAGGCCATGGTTTTGCCGGTCTGCAGGGGGGATGCTTGGCCCCCGGCGTCTACCTCAGCAGAGACCTGCTGAAAGCTAGTCGCTATCCATTGATCAACCCTAGCATGGACAAAGGTCGTCCATTAGGGTTACTGGTCAACGTGGGTCAAAGTGATTGTACATCAATCGTCAGTACACCCACCTCAGAAGAACCTGGCATGACTGCAAGTATGGCGAGGTGTACGACACCGCCTGGGTACCACCAATTGTGGGATGGTGAAGAGCGGTTTGGAGGAGAATTGTGTCTGGGATCCCAAACGAATCAAGATCAACAACACCATCAAGCCCAGCCCAGTGTCAAGCGGAATGACCTTGGATGTGGTGCACGAGGCTACATGTGAGCTCTACGAGCTGTCACCATTATTTTGTCTCTTCAAATGTATTTTTTTATAAATTTGGATGAAAAGTAAATGACATTTATTTTGTTACTGTGTCTCACAGGTGTGTCACCTGCAAAATAAATGGTCATGTTAAATCTGAGTGGCTGTCTGAGCCTAAATTGAAAAGGTCATGAGTACATCTTTATTCTAAACATTTGGCTCTGAAATAACTGTGCCACTTTAATGCAGTGGGGGTGGATGACATTTTGAAGGGTTAAAAATGTATTTT